GGACAAAAGGCATTGGTTAGAGGACTCAAAGACCTTTCCAAAATGTCCAAGAACATGAGCAAAGATTAAAAATTGAGCAAGTTATGCCTTGTGGAAGTTGGGAAATGTTTGGATATTTTGAAAAGTCAACATTGATTCAAATGACCTAAAATTGCTAATGGGCCTCTTTTTCTTCCACAATTCATTATCCAAGGCATGTGCACGACCATTAGGCCCAAAGGTAAGTTTTTCTCCATTTTTATTTATTTATTTGGATTTTTTATTATTAATAATTCATTTAATTAAATAAAAAATATGGAAAAATGCTAAACTAATGAAATAAAATCTTTTTGTGCAGAAAATACTCTCATTGGACACTCAAATTCGTGCATGATCAATTAGGGAAGGATTGGATATGATTTGATATCAAATTGCATGAAAAAGATTGGAAAAACTAATGCTTGAAAATCAAATATTGCATAATCAATTCTTGGATTCTTTTGATCAGATTTTTGACCTAATTCATTCATACATATACAAAGAAGCAAAACCTAATGCCATTAACCAAGAAGCTGCGCAAGAATCTGGAAAACAAAGTTTGACTTTTTGCTTAAAAATCTCAAAACTGAAAACAAGGTTAGAGTTTGATTCAAGCCAAGAGAACCATCCCATCACCTTCCTAGGACATCACTGATCCTAACTGAATAGATTTTCACGTCCCTCGCACCTTGAAACGGTATACAGAAGTCAAGCTTTTTTCACTTTTTCTCATAATCGTATTTTACATTCTATGCATATTCATGACATTTTATTTATAGATTCATGCTAAGTGATGTGTTTTAAAGCTAACCATATGCTTTGATTAGATTTTTATGCACCGTATGCAAAGATGCCATGGTCGTATTTTAGGGTTTGCAGAATTGTGAATTGGGGGTTTTAAAATATGGAAAAATTGGAGCTTGAAACCTAGGTCATTCAACTCAGTGAGCTTGGACGAAAAGAATGAGACTATCGCGCATAATTTATGAGGCTCCAATGGCTATTCGCTATTTTCCCTAATGATGCCTTTTAGAACAGTGTAAAAACCGTTGCCCATCTTTTTTTATATTTTCAGGAAAAACAAAACCATGAGGAAGATGACTCGGTGGCATAAGCTGAATGGCTGGTTCAAAGTCTCGCGCGAAAAAGGAGGCGTTGGTGTTTGTTTGTTTTATTATATTTATTGACTCTATTATTTACAGATAAACAAAATAGCTCCACTGGCAAGCGCGTTGATTGGTAAACCATAGGACCTGGGTTCGAGCCCCAGGTCCCCACCCCCTTTCATATTTTTCTTCAATTAATGATTCTATGCAGTGTCAATACTGAAAACGCATCATACGCCTTCAAAATCAAACGTCCACGCGTCCCAGGGTATGCAATCAAAGGCCAGGATCTCAAGAACATGATGCACGCTGGTCAATGCTTGGGTACGTGAGCACAAAAGTCAACCAGGCCAAAGAATAAATGGGCCTCAAATTGCTGGGCTATACCTCCACTTTGGGGACAGCAACCCCCCTAGGTTTGCAAATGTTTTTATTATTCTTTATTTCATTATATTTTTATTTCCTTTTAATTATTGTTTTCTTAATTAATTCAATTATTTTCATAAAAAATACAAAAAACCATAAAAAATCAGAAAAGATAAAAAAAATAATAAATATTTTCATTTTAGTATTTTTGTAAATAAATAACTTTAATTGATTAGTTTTAAATTTAGGTTTTAATTTTAACATCTTTCACTAAAACTCAAAACTTATAGAATTAGGGTTTAATTAAATTTTATCCTTTTTTATTCCACAGTAATTAATAATTAAATATTATTTTTATTTTTATAAATTAAAATTGCATGTAAATTAATTAGGGTTAAATATTAGGTTAAAACTTAATCTTTTCTAAAAAAAAAACTAAAAACAATTAGAATTAGGGTTAGCATGTTATTTTAATTAATTCTTTTTCATTAAAATCATAAAATACCAAAAAATACCAAAAACAATTTCCTTTCTTTTAATCTAATTAATTTAACAATTTAATTTAATTCCATTAAAAAGGGTCCAACGCCCTCGTTTCTAATTTTATTTCTATTCGCATATTTATTTCTTTTTTTCTTTTAATATTTATGTACCTCTCCCAAAGCCGTGTAATTAATTTCTCGCACTTTACTTTTCTTTTAATTCTTTATTTTTCTGTCAAATCGGGTTCTGGAAATTTTGGCGATGTGGACCCGCGCCTTTTGTAATAGCTTTAGAATTTTTACTTTTCGCAATTTTTAACTGCTAAATCAATGCATGCAAGAATGAATGGACATAAATAAAAACAAGCGTAGAACGCCAATGACATGACAAGATAAATACAAATGAAAACGACACACAAATCACACACCACCCCTAGGGTACGCCTCACTGTTGCCTTGCCTCGAAAGGTGATCGTCGAGTAGAGGATGTCTTAGTAAGTCCTCATGATCCGGGAACCTGGCATGAGGGTAGCTTCTAAGGTGTCTTCCCATTGCTCTGGTGATCACCATGTCCCGAACCTCGAATTGACCCGAATACCTCCAACGGTGGTGCTACCTACCTCTCAATGGTGGGCTGGCACTACTCTAAAGGACATTTACACAGACGAATTCCTTAGGGTAGGTAGGTTCTCGTAGATACTTGCTCTAATTTCAAAAACAAATTCAAAAATACTTTTCACACCGACACCTTTTCAAAAAGCTTTCGAAAGCAATTTTTCAAACACTCTTGAGGACCGATACAAGAGTCGAACTGAGATTTTCAAAGAAACTTTTTTAAAACCCACAGTTGAAAAGCAAACAAACCATTTTTGAAAACACAAATGAGCAAGTATCTAAGAGCCCATGGATAACCATGGATAGAAAGGGTGCTAACACCTTCCCTTTCTATAATCTACCTCCCGAACCGAGAGCAATCTCTATAAGGAATTTTTCTGTGCTTTTGTCCTTTCCATTTGGAGAAAATAAAAGACGGTGGCGACTCTTGCTTCCGCGACATTTCGCGAACCAGCGTTAAACAGTCAGTTCCAGATCCACCGATCACAGATGGCAACAGGTCGGGTCGGGTGCGGGTTTCACACTACCCACACCCGCACCCGAAATCATCACCCGAACCCGAAGGCTATTCGGGTGACAAAATCACACCCGCGCCCGCACCCGTTGGGTTCGGGTTTTTTCACCCAAACCCGAAGGCTATTCGGGTGACAAAATCACACCCGCGCCCGCACCCGTTGGGTTCGGGTTTTTTCACCCAAACCCAAACCCGCACCAAAAATCAAAAAAAAAATTACAATTAAAATAAGGTCTCTTTACATTGTCTTCAAGAAAATGCTATCACAATTATCTTAACATAGTCTTCAACATCTTAACATTACAATTAAAATTAAATTCTACAATCAAATTACAACTTTTTAACAACAACAAGCTAATATATTACAACTTTCTTGTGTAAGATTAGATGTTCCTTCCGGCTCCGGAGTTGTGTTCACTTGATCTATTTTACCTATTACAAAGAAAATATATTTCACATGTTAAGAAACACTAATAGATATTATCATCATAATTTTAAATTGTAATAACAAACATGTGAAACTTAAAACATATCAAACATGTAACTTAATTCTTGGTAATGGATGGAGCAGTAGGTTGTGCATCTCTAAGTTTAATCTGTTGATAATCATTGAGCAAATCATAACACATGTCTTTGATTCTACTAACTTGTGCACTTGATTCTTTTTACCTACTACAAACAACAAGAAATTTCATAAACAATTGTATAAAAGAAAGTGAGACATTAGACCCTTCAAGATTAACCTCCATCTTATGCTATAAAAAAGAACTTCATAAAAAATGTAATACTCAATCAAAATCAGTTTTGCAACTCAATAACTATGCTCCGACTGGACCGCGGCCACCCAACTCATAAAGCTCCATTGATATATTGTTCTTGTCTATCTCATTCACGTGCAACTTCCAGATAATCACTTCTCATAAGCATATGGTTATCCCCATCAATGTTGTACCTTAAAACATTAAGGAGCAAGAAACACATAAATAAATGATATTGTTATACAAATCCAAGCATGCCGGTTAGAAGCAATATGTCGAAGTACGATGTAAAGAAATATAATCCATTTCATGGTAGTGCTTACTTGTCCTTGTAAAGCAAACTCAATCACTCTCATTTAAATCAAATCCACAATCGAAGCCTCAACACAGAAAATCAACACAACAACAATGCTATATCGAAAAATCAAAGAAAACAGAAGAGAAAGAATCAAGAAAACGGAAAAGGCATATCATCGAACACTTTGTAAGAAGGATTGGAAGAAAAATTTTCTTCTCCCCGTTGCTTCAACATGTGAGTAATCCTCCAATTCAGCTTCATAATTGCGTGCTTCCTATGTATTTAATTCAAACCAAAACTAGCTCAGAATCATAAGATGTAACGAAACCGTAATTATGTCAAAACCGCAAAAATGAAGCTCACCGTATTTAAACTGTAATGTATAAGATACACCTCTAATGAAAAAAATTACCCTCTATTTAGGCTTAACCATTAAAGTCTATATCAATAAGGATCGGAAAATGCATAAGAGATGTAATCAGGTCCTTTCAGCTTTGGGAAAACATTGAAATTTCCAGAAAAAGTGAGATGCGACAACATCAATATTTGTTGTAACAAAAATGGTTGAAAATCTAAAGTTAACGCCTACAAACTTCCCACTATGCTACGTCAGAACATGTCTCAGCCCTTGACCACTTTTCAGGTTGCACTAATAGTCCAACTGAACCGCCACACAACTTATAATTGCAATTGCATCAAAATGGTGGAACAAAACAAATGAAATCAAAATGCATATACAAAAAAAAATCATCATAAAAAGTTAAAAGGAAGAATATATCTTTAGAAGGCTTACCATAAAAAAAGTCAGTCATATGAACAAAAACTGAGAACCAATCAGCATCTTCATAAGATGATGAAGCGAACAATATGTCCTATAAACTGGAATGACTTTTTTGTTTCTCTTAAACTTTTATTTTTTTCATCTCGAGACCAATGCTGCATAAAATACAAGTACACATAAATAGAAAGTTTAATGCAACCACTAAATATTATACTACTAAAGCCACAAATAAAGGATTCTCAGTATTAAACCTCTACAAGCACGTTAAGCTTCTTAGGTACATCTTTCAGCATTTCCTGGACATCTCCTTCCCATTTGCAAAACTCCAATTCGGTACCTTCCAGGAGCCTTTTCAGAAACCTGCAAGCAATAATAATATAAGTAAGCTAATGAGACAACATTGAAAAAATTGAGTAAAGGACTGAACATTTTAAATATATATCAAGAATATTGATAGGTTAATGACATGTGCATGAAATGCTTAATGATCTTCTTCAAAGAACTAACATTCACTTGCTGACATATGATACGGTACTGAATAAGCCCGTCCATAGCAAAACGTCATTTCCTCATGTCCAAACACAACTCTACATACTTAAACATAATCCATTCAAGAGTTTTCTGCCATGCTCGATATTGTGTCGAAGTTATAAGGCCGTGCAGAGTCTGCTGAGCATCTTGCTTCTGGCCAACATTTATGAATTTTGTACATCAAATTATAAATAAATCAATCAATGCAAAGAGCTAACAGGTTAATAACTTCAAACATTAAAAAACAAATTAAAGAAGGAGATGTGATGGTCATTCACCTTATCTTCAGGTTCTTTTTTTTTTTTAACTTCATTAGCAGGACTATCCTTGTTTCCTTCAGCAACACCATTTTCATTGCATTCTTCTTACCACCCAAATTCTTTTCAGCCTCATTGGCAACCTCATCAGTTACCCTGCATAAATTTCACAAGCAAGTAAATATAAACATATACACAATATCAGCAACCAAAACAACAAATTTCTACAAAGAAAAAATGCAAGTAGACATTACATCAATGACCAGATAACTCAACAGGGTTAAGAGGAAGAAGGTTCAAATCGAACCGCAAAAAGAAACTCAAACCCGACGCATAGAAAAAATAAAAAGCATCGTACCTGGGTAGTTTTCCAATGGTAATATTCTTTGCTCTTTGCTCTTTGCGATTAAACCACATCAAACAACAACAACAGTGAACCAACCTCAAAAGTCATTAACATAAATGGATATCAGAACACTGTTAACAAAAAATTTGATTAACAGATGAAGAGTATACGATTCACGGTGGTCGTTCTTATGAAATCGGTCGAAGATGAAGAAACGGTTGTTGACGGCAAAGTTGTTCGAATCAAAACTACAATTGGTACATCAGGAAGGTCGTGAGATGAGAAGTTCAAATTTGAATTTGGTATGGAGGTGGAAGTGACCACAAATATGGTGGGGAAAGGGGGATGGAGGCTGTGTTAGGGTTTCTGAAAAAAGAGAGAGAAGAGAGAAAATAGAGAAAGAGAAAAGTGTGGGAAGAGAAGTGAGAAAGTGTCCAAAAGCGGGAAGAGAAAAAACGAAATTGGATTGGGTACTGATGACGGAGGAGTTTGTAGGCGCCAGTGAAGAGGCGAAGGAGACGGAGAAATGAACTAACGAAGGTGACAGTCTGACGGAGGTGACGAAGGTGACGGAGGTGACGATGGTGACGATGGCGGTGGCCGGTGGGTGAACTGAAGTGAGCGTGAACTTGAAAGTTGAATCCGTGGCGTGGCGTGATGTACTGACTACTGAACAATAAACCCTACATTTTATTTTTAACTATTGAAATATATATATATTTAGGGATAGTTTTGTAATTTAACATATAAGCGGGTGTGGTTTCGGGTGCGGGTTTAAGCTATCCCAAACCCACACCCGAAATATCGGGTGGCACCCGAACCCGAACCCAAACCCAGTCAATTCGGGTTTCACCCATTGACTCGGGTGCGGGTGCGGGTGGGGCCCGCAGGTTTGGGTCTGCTTGCCATCCCTGCACTTGGTGAAGTAATCAATGGCGATCAATATGAATCAATGTCCATTAGAATCCTTCGGTTTAATCATTCATATTATATCAACTCCCCACATCGAGAATGGCCATGGTGAACTTATGATGTTCAGCAGAGTAGGTGGCACATGTACCTTGTCAGCATAGATTTGGCATTTGTGACATGCCTTCATATAATGGTAACACTAATTTTCCATCGTCAACCAATAGTAACTTGCTCTTAAGATTTTTCTGGCCAGGGCATGTCCATTCGCATGGGTCCCAAAGGTTCCTTCATGGACCTCTTTCATAAGCGTGTGTGCTTCGTGTTTGTCCATGCACCTGAGTAGAATCATATCATAGTTTATTTTATACAACACATCTCCATTTAAGAAGAACTTTGCTTCTAGATTCCGTAGAGTTTGTTGTTCTATTATTGAGGCACCTTCTAGATGTTCTTGATTTTATAAATACCTCTTGATGTCGTAGAACCAAGGTTTATTATTCGTCCCCTCTTTAACTACAAGACAGTGTGAAGACTCCTTAAAATGTCTAATTGAGATGTGTGGTTCATGATTAGGCTAAGTAACTTTAAACATGGAAGACAAAGTTGCCAAGGCGTCTGTCATCAATGTGAGTGAAAGTAATTTCCATAAATTCTGTAGCTAGCTCTAAAACACAATCTCTATATATAATCAATTTGGGATGTCTGTGTCCCATTCACTGTTGACTTGGTATATGACCAATGTTGAGTCTCCATATACTTTGAGGAACTTGATCCTTAGATCAATAGCAGCTTCTAAATCCAATATACAAGCTTCGTACTCTGAAATATTGTTGGTACAATCAAAATATAACTTCACAATATAAGGTTTATGAAAATTCTTTGGAGAGGTCAATATTTCCCCAATTCCATGTTGTGATCGGTGGGAATAGAACTGACTGTTTTTTAGCTGCTTTCGCGAAATGTCACGGTAAGCAAGAGTCACCACCGTCTTTTATATTCTCCAACATGGAAAGGACAAAAGCACAGCAAAATTCCTTCTTTGAGAATGTTTCTCGGTTCGGGAGGTAGATTTATAGAAAGGGAAGGTGTTAGCACCCTTTCTATCCGTGGTTATCCACGGGCTCTTAGGTACTTGCTCTTATATTTTCAAAATTTGTTTGCTTTTCAAGTGTTTGTGGGTTTTGAAAAAGTTTCGTTTGAAAACTTCTAAGTAACTCTTGTATCAGTCCTAAGAGTGTATGAAGTGTTTTGTTTGAAAACTTTTTGAAAGTGTGGGGTGCGAAAAGTATTTTTGTTTGTTTTGAAAAGAGCAAGTACTTAAGAGATCTACCTACTCTAAGGAATTAGGCTGTGTAAGAGTCCTTTAGATAGTGCTATCCCACCATTGAGAGGTAGGTAGCACCATCGTTGGAGGTATTCGGGTCAATTCGATTAAGGGACAATGTGGTCACCGAAGCAATAGTAGGACATCTTAGTGGTAACCCTAATGTCCTAGATCCTTTTATCCGAGGCAACCGTTTCGAGGCAACTGGATCTTTAGACAGGAGGGCGACCTCTAAGACACCCTTTACTTGATTGATGACCACGTTCGAGGCAACCAGTGAGGCGTACCCTAAGAGTGGCATGTGCTTTGTGTGTTGTTTTTCAGTTAATGTTTGTCTTGTACATGTTATTTGTGAGCTACGGATTGATTTTATTTTTCATACATTCTTTCATGCATTTTTTAACAGTTAGGAGTGCGTAAAATAAATTGCAGAAATGTAAATCTAGCTATTACAAGGCGCGGGTCTATACATCGCCAAAAAAAAAAACCCGTTTGGAAATAAAGTGCGAGAAATAGTAAATAAAGAGATAACCCTAATTACTATTACATATCCGGAAACAGTTACATAAATAATCAAAATAAGAATAATGCGCGAAAGAATTAAATTGGAACGTCTTAGGGTTTTGACCCTTTTTTGAATAAGAATTAAATCAAACATTAAACCTAATTAACTAATTAATTATTTAATTAAAGAAAGAGAAAAAAATGTTTTTGTGTTTTTTTTATATTTTTAATGAAAATAAAATAAAAAGAATTAAAATTAAAAGTTAACCTAATTCTAAATTGTTTTTATTTATTGTAAAGAAAAAGAGATTAAAATTGACCTAATTAAACTATTTTATTTGTTAGTATTTTATTTACAAAAATAACATGAAATTAATAATAATAATAATAATAATAATAATATTAGTTCTTTTTTGATTTTTTATTGTGAAAAGGTTAAATAAATTGTTAATGAGTAACTAATAAAAAAACAATAGAATTAAACAAAGTAATTAATAAGAAAGAAAATAAATAAAAAATGCAAACCCAAAGGGGGGTTTTGGGCCAGCAATGGGGGTTTTTGTAAGCAAGCTGAGGCCCATTTGCCACAAAGTCACGTTGACTCCTGGAATCATATGCATGCTCATTGACTTGGAACATGGTGTGGAGCCATCCCTGGCCTTTGGATCTGTCTTTTGAGACACTTGGCATGTGGATTGGTAAGGCGTATGGTGGAGCACAATGACTAGCCTGCATAGGAATTTGTTAAACAAAATAATATTGAGTTTTGGGGGACCTGGGAATCAAACCCAGGTCCCAGTAATTACCAAGCACGTCACCAACCATTACACCATTTGAGCGCGTTTGATATCATAATACAAACTGATCATCATATTAGAAAGTCAGGCAATATGCTCCCTCAAAAGAAAAGCGCGCATTTTATTTCAAATGCTCCAATCACTTAATAACACGTAATCATCTTCTTCATCAAACCTGCACAAAAACAAAACACATAGCGGGGGTTTTAAACCCCCACAAAGTACAACCACAGAAAATAGCGATTAGAAATGTACGCTATATAAATAGGGCGCGAGTATGGTGTTGAATTCGTCTTGTCATGACGAATTCAACCATAGGCGTTATGTGGTCCAATTTTCCTCATGCTGTAAAGCCCCAATCTAGAAGCTTGGAAACCCTAAATTTCTCCCATGGCAACTTGCGTTTCAGGTCATCTTAATGAAATTAAATCACACCAAAAGCTTCACCTGAATGCTATGAACACAAAACAATCAACAAAAGGTATTAAAAATGCATGAATCAAAGATTATGATTTTGGAAGAAAAGTGATAAACCGTGAATCTGTTAGAGCGTTCTCTTGAGCTTTAAGGCTTGTTCTCGATGGCAATGTGTTCATGGAAGGTCCAACAATGTATTGGAAACAAGAAAAGGGTTCGAATTGTCCTGCAAGTGAGAATTCAGTTTTCAACTTTTCTTCAAGTTTTTGGAATTTTGTTTGGCCGTTTCAATGAGCTCTAGGTCGTGCCTTCTACATGGCCTGCTTGCATATGTATGTATCAAGGGATTTAAGTCAGCATTAGGAGCCTTTAACTTGTGCATTGAAGTTTTGGATTTCCTCTTAACCACCATTAAAGGCCTTTCAAAGCTTTGTCCAAATTTTGAATTTTCATGCATAAATGAGCTTTACACGAATTTGGAAACTAGAATATGCTTCATGAAGGCTAATCAAACCACAAGATACCATTTAATCAATTTTTTTTTATTTTACTTGAATTATTATGGATTAAAATGAATTAAATCCATAAAAATTAAATAAAAATAGAAAAATAATTATTTGGTCTTGAAATTGATCATGGGACACGTGGGTGGCATGACAAGGCTGAATCAAGTGGAGGAAAGTGGGCCCTTTTGTCAAAAATTGAAGTTTCAAGGATAGTTGACTTTTGCCATTTCACAAAAATTTCCCAACTTCTCCAATGCATATCTTGCTCAATTTTGATCATATGAACATGTTCTTGGACATTTTGGAAAGGTCTTGAATTCCTCTAACCAATGCCATTGGTCCCATGTCATTTGAATTTACCAATATCAAGTTATGGTCTTTGACTTAAAGTGCCTTTTTGTTGACTTTTGAAAATGACCTATAATGTTGAAATTGATAGCTTTTTGTGAGAGAATTTCTTGGATTTGGAATGTGAAGATGAGTTGTAGGAAATGTCCTCCCCTTCAAAATGAGCATTGGATGGGATTTTTCTGATGAACCATGAAAAAGTTATGCCTTTGTCAAGTTACAATTGACTTTTCAACTGTCCAAAAATGGAAACTTTTGCATCTTGATGATTTTTGAGCCATTCTTGTGGAATCATGATCAAGACTTGATCAAATGATGATTGTGGCTTCAAAATAAGATGTTGACCAAAAAATTTTGACTTTTGACTGCCAAATGACCATTTTTCCCCTGCAGTTGATTGTGAAGCAATTAGGGTTTTTGACTGTGCAACTTGACCTTATGAGCCTTGAAACTTGGCATGTAGATGCTTGACAATGTTTATGGGCATATGTGACTTGATTGAGCCCTTGAAAACCTCAACTTCCTTGCAAGAACCAAAACCCTAATTTTGACTGGCTTAGGAGGATGGTTGACTGCAACCCTTGAGTAGACTTGAGCAAATTGAGATGATGCTTGTCAAAACTTTGAAGAATATGGGAGGGCAAATTTTGGGGTACAACAGTTGCCCCTGTTCAATCTTCTTAGATCTGAGGATGTAGATTGGCTTGCGTGCCTTTCGTGATCCGAAGGTGGAAGATGGTTGAACATTAAAGTGCCCAGAAATTTGCACTCACATAGTGGAGTATCAGCAATGTGATGTCGGGAATGGGCTTATAGATGCCATTTGGAGAGATGATGGATAGGAGGATGGGCTTATAGAT